ATCTCACTTTAACATCACTCAGAAGATTCTTAATGCAAAATATAAGCTGCAAAAATCTAATATTACCAATGTCACATCCTCCAATGTGCAAAAGAATACATTTAGGATCAGGGAAATTACTCGCACAACCTTCAAGAGTCCCAAACATCTAATTAATTCTTAAACCCCTTACTCCTTTCCAAAAAAACATACACTTGTCCTCATCCAGCTCCAAATATGGGCCATATAATCTATCGGCTGCTCTTCTCTGTTTCCAAAAGATGAATGAGTGCCCAACTATCCAAATAGCCGCTGGCAAGGAAACTAGAATAAAGAAAGAAAATGTTACCATCACATATAACATTGAATTACATTAGACATACACAGAAATACTACTCTCCTTATGACTGAAATTACCTGATGAGAGGAAGCATGGAGAGTTAATAGCATCGACCACACCTTTATTTTCATAAAATACCCTTAGCTTCTTTTTTGCAAAATTTTGGCCCCAAACTTCTAACGCTACCATGATAGGGAATAATTCTAAAAGCATAATTTTTTTTTGTCCAGCCTGCTCTCTTTCAATCTTCTGGCCAGCTCCCTACTCCTCACTTACCATTCCAATACATTCCGAAAGCATTACTATCCACTGTAAAAGTCTAAATCCAAATTATCCGCCAGACTGGCTAGCCATAGAGTGTTGCTGTTAAAACTGCTTAAGAATTCCAACCAGACCTCAATATCTTCTTTTATTTCTTTGGTTACCCTAATTTGCAGAGATGGCTATGGCCAATGACATTTTTCTCATGAATATTCTGCCCATTGGTATAACTCTGACAGCAAAAGCCAGTAGGCCTGTAAGTTTTTGAAAAGTTTTAACTGAAACTTTATTAGCTCCATGGACCTGCCGTAGTAAAATGGACATTTTGTGCACTTTGTCAACTGGTAAACTGCATTCCGTTTTACTTGAGTCTATCACAATTCCTAAAAATTGTAACGACATTGTAGGAAACAGCGCTTTATCCTTTGCTAGCAGTATGCCAAACTCCTCTGCTATTGAACAAAAAGCCTGCAATAACATTGAACATTGATCCATGTCTTCTTTACCAATAAAGATAAAATCATCTGAATAGTGGACAACTGATTCTTAGCCTGTTTTAAATTTAATAACCCACACCAAGAAAGATGCAAGCAATTCAAAATAAAAGCAAGATAAGGAGCAGCCCATTGGTAAACATTTATCAAAGATGAATTTCCCATCAAATTGAAAGCCTAGAGAGTTAAAACTTGTAGGATGCACTGGTAATAGCCTAAATGCTGACTCAATGTCAACTTTAGCCATTATGGCATTTTTGCTGCAAGCCAAAGCCCATTCAATAGTGTTGGCGAAAGACGCATAACAGACCGGAAAGTGTTCCATGTCTATCTCGTCATTGAGTAAAGACAAATGGAATTCTCCACTCTCCTTCTTCGATACTAAACCCAAAGGTGAAATGCAAAAATATTCAAACGGAACTTTGTCAAATAGGCTTGCAACTTTACCTAAAACCATTTCCTTAACTATTTCATTAAACGCCAACTTCTTATTAATTTCCAACGACTTTAAATTATTAACCCAACTAAATTTCTTCTTATAACTACAGGATAAATAGAACAAACAAGAGGCTGCACAAAACGTTGCTGTGTACACACCAAGGTGTTACTGGTATTTATTTGAAGGACAGAATATCACAAATGTTTCGGGAATTCCCTTTCTCAATGCACCATGTCTTCTTATAACTAAGAACATTGAAACAAAACGCAAACATTCATAAAGAACCTTGGCCTTCTCCTGCATTGGATAGGCCTTTAAATAATGAACCATGCTTAAAAGCTTCACTAGAGTCACCGCTTTTGCTTTGAAAATTAATGAGACCCAACTTCTTGAAACATTTTACTGCCGGATGTGCTCCCATGCAAATAGAGTATTTATGCCTGTATCTACAATTGTGGAGCCATTTACAATGTGCATCATTAAAAGCCCAACAGACACCTTTTGTTCTGACCAGTTGCTGTTAAAACCTCCGCAGACCTATTAGAAAAAATCTGCCTTTGTGGTAACATTGTACTAAGCCATAAACCAAAATCTTTAACACCCCATTTTACAATTTGCTTTTGTACGGAAATTTTCTGTCTAAACATATCATCATAATTATACCAGGCAATGCCCTCAAATTTTCAGTATGCTTCAAGCTCTGATTCCAAATGTTAAAAAAGCCCCATACTTAAAGGATCACTATAGGTACCCAGACCACTTTAGCTCAATGAAGTGGTCTGAGTGCCAGGTCCCCCTAGTTTTAACTCTGCACCAGAAACTGCTATGTTTACATAGCAGGGTTAATCCAGCCTCTAGTGGCTGTCTCCCTGGCCCTGCGGTAGGGGGGGCACTTCAAGAGCCTATAGTGTCAGTAAAACAGGTTTGTTTTCCTGGCACTATAGGATCCCTTAAACTTGGATTATCTCCACATATAATACTAGCATGTATGCAAAAAGCCTGTAACCAATTAGTAAATGAGTGTGGTATAGGCCTACACCTGCCCTCTTCTTTCTCTGTTCCTTGCTTTGCTAAAAATTCCTTAGCAGCTGGAAGCAGTGATAAAATATCAATATAATCGCCCGTGATAATTTTCTCTCTGATATTGCTGCTTAAATGCAAACCCAGCGGAGAAATCTCACAAATCATAGCTTCTTTTAGACAATCTTCATTTACCCTTGTTTCATTATGAACAAACTTTTGTTTGACTATAGGGTTAACCACACAGGGTGCAATTTATACTTGGTATATATACCTATTACTAACTAGCTTGTGCTGCTTTCTTTATTAACCAATCAGGACCTAATATTTCCTGCCAAAAAATGAAAAGTCAATGAAAATACCTTAATTAAAACCGTGGTAAACTGGATTCAGCTGACTAACCTTCCAAGCTAAACTAACCCTTGACCTTTAGCTGACCCTAACCTATCACCCTATGCTCCCTGCAGGACATCTCTCTGATGATAAACCAGCGCTTCTCCATCTTCTGTAATCTTCTGACCAAGACCTGTCTCTTACCATTCTGTTCCTGCCTTTTGTACATTAATCCTAGCCACCTCTATAGAACAGTAGTACACACCTTTTCCTGATTACTTAGTGTAACCTACATTTACGCGTTGGGGTTATGTATCATTGTGTATTGTGTATTATTCCTGGTAGTGCCTAATAATTACAAATGCCTCATTTAGGTATAAGGAATAAAAGACTAGTTAATGACTTCTACCTCTCAAAGCATCCCCCTAAAATACACATTGGCACAAGATGTTGCTTCTTTCTTTTTTGCTACAAAAAATAATATATATAAAGAGAATATTAAAACAGTCTTGCATGAAAGCATCCACGAAGCAGATAAAGAAAACAAAAAAAAAAAAACCCAGGAATTATCTTATCCAGCTCAGATATATAATAATAGTGCAAACCCACATGCCTGCATCCTTCAGAGGCCTTTGAAGGATGCAGGAGTCAGAGTATGTAGCTGCCTGGGAGGTCTTCTGCAGCTGATGGGAGTCTTATCAATGAAGCTGCCTGTAAATGTACCGTCATCTTGGTGTTGTAAAACTGTCATTTATTTTCTACACAAAGAGCCCCAAAAACAGGAATTATCTCACCCAATCTGGATATATTACTATATCCGGATTGGGTGAGATGACTCCTAATTTTTTTTTGGCTTATCTGCTCTGTGGATTCTTTTATGCAAGGCTTTTTAATATTTTAACGGACTGTTACATCTTTTGGAAACAACAATAAGTCTTGCTAAGCACATATATTGCTTTAATTTTAGATATCTTTCCCGTTTCATTTTTTTTTTTTGTACTTTTGTACTTTTATTTTTTTTGTTTATTTTTTCTGATTTTAAAATTCAAAATTGTGCTTAAATACCTGTATAATGATACCCATATATATAATATACCTGTATGATGATACCCAGATTATTGTAATTATTGTGATTGTAAATGGACAGGAACCCATAACTTTGCTCACAGTGTTTCACCCACATAAGAAATAGTTTGTACATTTATCATTGTAAGAAGTCTTCCTATCAGGCTGCTCTCCGATAACATTGAATTGCAAAAATTACATATTGTCTAATACATGAAAACTGTTTTTTTCTATCACTGTGTATTGCTCATTTTTATCTAGTGTGACATAAAGCCTGGCAGAACTGTATTACCTAAATAGCTTTACAATTTGTGTCATTTGTGTCTCATTGATGTTGGTCTAAAAATAACGGCATACATAAAATACTAATAGAAATCAGATATATTAGTTTTTACGTGTGTATTCACTTTACATATTTTCTGTGATTTAATTTCTTTGTTGGTATATGTGGAGACATACCCACCTGAATCCTGCACCTACCAATTTATGTTGGGCTGAGTGTTGTGGCATATTATTGTGTTTTGTTAAAGGGACTCTCCAGTTCCCGAAAAATAAACCAGTTTTCCCAGCTACTTCCCTGAATCCAGCGCAAATGTCCCTCAGTGCTGGGTCAGGCTCCTCCCACGCTCACGCATTAGACTTCCCCATAGGAAAGCATTATTCAATGCTTTTCTGTGGGGAAAATCTGACGCTGGAAGTCTGTGAGGATATCCAGCGTCAGATACCCGACAAAAGGTTGGTTTGGATTCCGGAAGCCCTCTAGTTGCTGTCTGTTAGATAGCAACAGAGGGCAGACTTAGAGCTGTAATGTAAACATTGCAGTTCTCTGAAACTGCAATGTTTTACATTGCAGCACTAAGTGCAAAAGGGTAACAGCACCCTGACCACTTCAATTAGCTGAACTGGTCTGGGTGCCTGGAGTTTCTTTTTTGCTTCATTTGTAGAGATAGTGGGATTCTTACACTATAAGTGTTTGCTACACAATTCCACTTCAATCCAGACATGTCAGATGTCTATCCATCCTTTTTTTCATTATTTATTTAAGTACATTAAAAATGTCTATAAGAATTGTGTGTTTAGTTTTCAAATAATACCTGCATAATCTGGCACGTTATTTGCAAATATTGAGTGCAGTTTGCTCAAATGATTGCAAGTGAAGTGTGCATGCCCTTATGGAACTTTTAATCATGTCCTGGTACAGATTCAATGGTACTGAATTTGAACATGCATCTAATTCTTCATATGTACAGAAAAAAATTGAGAAAGTACCTGTCAAAATGACTCAGAATTTGAGAATGGCTTATTTTATTTTTTTAGCAAAACCTTTTTTTTTTTTTTATTTCTGCCATGTGCACAGTCCTTTATTTTATTTAATTCTTCATGTGTCTAATTTTCAAATGGTAGAAAGCAAAGGAGGTCAATATCATTGGAAGTATACACGAATAGCATGCAGATATTATACTCACGTACAAATTCACCTGACAAAAAAAACAATATTAAAAAATAAGTTGTTTACAGAGCATTCTAGCGCAAAAAGTTTCTCATGTCCAATTAAATTTCTGCCTCTGTGATTTAAGGCCTTATTCACAATCTTGTAATTTTTTTGAGATCAGCAACTGCAACTTACATTATTTTTTTCTGTTTTGGAATCAATTTACATTGCATCTTTCAATTAAAAAAAATGTGCAGGAGGATTTATTGCTGTTAAAAAAATTAAAACTTGGAACAATTTTTTTAACTGTATACATGTATTGGTGTTACAATAAAAAAGACTGTTTGGATCCATGGAAGCAAACCCTGCCTAGATCAATGCAGATTGTTAGCTAGAGTTTTTCTACAAGGTGTGTCTGTTTAGGAGCTATTGAAGCACCACTTGTTTAATTTTGAAATAGCCATCTGTAAAAATCCATGTATGTACGTAGTAGGTAATCGCAATGCAGCATAATACATATACCTATCCAATTCACCCCTCCAAAATAATGACACACAACGTAGTATGGATGAAACAGGCCATAGCATTTATTATAACATATGATAATTACTGTATAACACATCCATAATTTATTTAATAATTTCTCTTCTTTTCTGTAACCAAAACGTTAAACATAAATAACCATAACTTAACATATATATATATATATAACTTAACACATAGTGTCATACAGTGAACCCAACCATCCTTGCCAATAAACTGACCATGCTCCTATGTACCACTTCCTCTCACCTCCCCCCTCGGCATAAACTCATTTCCTTCCAGTGCCTGCCACCAGCCGACCTTATCCACGCTCGATAGGCACGACATCAGGGATAACCTAAGGTTAACCCTTTAGAGCAGGGGAGGTTGAGACCTGAAAACTTGTTCACTTCATTCCACATAATTAACATAATCATCTCAAACTTAATTAGCAAGGACATACCCCCGGCTAGCTGCGACTAAATATACTAATGGGGCGGGCGGGAGGGAAGCTGTTTGCTGGCCCGAATCCCAAGTGGCACTGAGGTAAGACCTCCCCCCCACTAACTCACATAAAACATAATCCCACCCACACATTCCTTCCCAACCAATCTCACACATCTATCCCCAGGGCCTGAATGTTCATTTGTAAGCCTACATGGTTACAATGACTTCTAGATTAGTATTACAGTAAAACAAACCATCACTGATTTTGTTTAAATGTCAAGAAATCAAAAGTGATTTTTTTTCCCTTTAATCCACTATGCCTTTATTCCTTCTATTGTTTAAGGGGGGAAGCATTGACGTAGTTGTCTTTCTTAGATAAAAATAATATGCACATTGTTTAGTACCTGGAGTCAGTAGAGGTGCTAAAACAATACTTTTCTGGGTTGCATGATAACACTACCAAAGGATTATACCATACAGTTAGTATTTAGAGCCCAAAGGTTTGACAAAAATATAAAAAAAAAAAAAAAATGTCTCAATGCCTAAAATCTTATATTGACATCAATTAAAAACAAAAACAAAGATTTTCCATATTTCCTGGGGGACAGTTACTGGGTTGAAACTCATGTGACCACATACTTATTGTCTGTGTAATCTTGGTAGTATCATTTTGATGGTTGACAAGTACATGGTTACTCTACATATTGCCCACTGACTAGCTTTGAACTCTTCAGGCTTTGTGAGTTTTCACGGCCTCCAAGTGCAACACAGTAGAGGCCTAAATGCGAGAATATTTCAGATTTCCATAGTTGAATACAAGCCACTCTTGAGTCAAAACAGGCTACAGCACTACATTTTTTAAAAGCGACTTTGTCTTGTTCATACGTGAGCTCTGACATTGTAACTATGAAGTACATATGTAAGATTAGCAACGTATGAAATGCATATAAGGAAATTGAAATTCAGACTTCTGGAAAAGTGCATTCAAATATGTATTAATCAAAACTATTTTTTATTAAATAAAGTGTACTGGTTAAAATGATTAATATTGGAGAAGCCACTATAGAGAGTTATTTTCAGAAAGAAAACAGATGTACATGTATATACATTTGAGTATGTTTTCTTCTAAGAGCTAGTTGGTGATTGACAATTAGTGATGTCGCGAACACGAAATTTTCGGTTCGCGAACGGCGAACGCGAACTTCCGCAAATGTTCTCGAACTGGCGGACCGGGCGAAACGCCATAGACTTCAATGGGCAGGTGAATTTTAAAACACACAGGGACTCTTTCTGGCCACAATAGTGATGGAAAAGTTGTTTCAAGGGGACTAACACCTGGACTGTGGCATGCCGGAGGGGGATCCATGGCAAAACTCCCATGGAAAATTACACAGTTGATGCAGAGTCTGGTCTTAATCCATAAAGGGCAGAAATCACCTAACATTCCTAAATCACAATGGATATGGATTGATACCTGACATATTGACACAGAGCAGAATAGGGACTGTTCCCCCTACATAGGGTCACTTGGCAGGTATGGATTGACACCTGTCCTCAGAGACCATGATACACACTGACACAGAGCAGAATAGAGACCAATCCATATCTGCCAAGGGTCACTTGGCAGATATGGATTGACACCTGTCCTCAGAGATCATGATACACACTGGCACAGAGCAGAATAGAGACTGTTTCCCCTACATAGGGTCACCTGGCAGATATGGATTGACACCTGTCCTCAGAGACCATGATACACACTGACACAGAGCAGAATAGAGACTGTTCCCCCTACATAGGGTCACTTGGCAGATATGGATTGACACCTGTTCTCAGAGCCCCTGATACACACTGACACAGAGCAGAATATAGACTGTTCCTCCTACATAGGGTCACTTGGCAGATATGGATTGACACCTGTCCTCAGAGATCACGATACACACTGACAGAGCAGAATAGAGACTGTTCCCGCTACATAGGGTCACTTGGCAGATATGGATTGACACCTGTCCTCAGAGCCCCTGATACATACTGACACGGAGCAGAATAGAGACTGTTCCTCCTACATAGGGTCACTTGGCAAATATGGATTGACACCTGTCCTCAGAGACCATGATACACACTGACACAGAGCAGAATAGAGACTGTTCCCCCTACATAGGGTCACTTGGCAGATATGGATTGACACCTGTCCTCAGAGACCATGATACACACTGACACAGAGCAGAATAGAGACTGTTCCCCCTACATAGGGTCATTTGGCAGATATGGATTGACACCTGTCCTCAGGATCCCATGATACACACTGACACAGAGCAGAATAGAGACTGTTCCTCCTACATAGGGTCACTTGGCAGATATGGATTGACACCTGTCCTCAGAGACCATGATACACACTGACACAGAGCAGAATAGAGACTGTTCCCCCTACATAGGGTCACTTGGCAGATATGGATTGACACCTGTCCTCAGAGACCATGATACACACTGACACAGAGCAGAATAGGGACTGTTCCCCCTACATAGGGTCACTTGGCAGATATGGATTGACACCTGTCCTCAGAGACCATGATACACACTGACACAGAGCAGAATAGAGACTGTTCTCCTACATAGGGTCACTTGGCAGATATGGATTGACACCTTTCTTCAGAGATCATGATTCACACTGACAAAGAGCAGAATAGAGACTGTTCCCCTACATAGGGTCACTTGGCAGATATGGATTGACACCTGTCCTCAGAGAACATGATACACACTGACAGAGAGCAGAATAGAGACTGTTCCCCCTACATAGGGTCACTTGGCAGATATGGATTGACACCTGTCCTCAGAGACCATGATACATACTGACACAGAGCAGAATAGAGACTGTTCCCCCTACATAGGGTCACTTGGCAGATATGGATTGACACCTGTCCTCAGAGACCATGATACACACTGACACAGAGCAGAATAGAGACTGTTCCCCCTACATAGGGTCACTTGGCAGATATGGATTGACACCTGTCCTCAGAGCCCCTGATACACACTGACACAGAGCAGAATAGGGACTGTTCCTCCTACATAGGGTCACTTGGCAGATATGGATTGACACCTGTCCTCAGAGACCATGATACACACTGACACAGAGCAGAATAGAGACTGTTCCTCCTACATAGGGTCACTTGGCAGATATGGATTGACACCTGTCCTCAGATCCCTGATACACACTGACACAGAGCAGAATAGGGACTGTTCCCCCTACATAGGGTCACTTGGCAGATATGGATTGACACCTGTCCTCAGAGCCCATGATACACACTGACACAGAGCAGAATAGAGACTGTTCCCCCTACATAGGGTCACTTGGCAGATATGGATTGACACCTGTCCTCAGAGCCCCTGATAGACACTGACACAGAGCAGAATAGAGACTATTCCTCCTACATAGGGTCACTTGGCAGATATGGAATGACACCTGTCCTCAGAGACCATGATAGACACTGACACAGAGCAGAATAGAGACTATTCCTCCTACATAGGGTCACTTGGCAGATATGGAATGACACCTGTCCTCAGAGACCATGATACACACTGACACAGAGCAGAATAGAGACTGTTCCTCCTACATAGGGTCACTTGGCAAATATGGATTGACACCTGTCCTCAGATATCATGATACACACTGAGAGAGAGCAGAATAGAGACTGTTCCCCCTACATAGGGTCACTTGGCAGATATGGATTGACACCTGTCCTCAGAGACCATGATACACACTGACACAGAGCAGAATAGAGACTGTTCCCCCTACATGGGGTCACTTGGCAGATATGGATTGACACCTGTCCTAAGGATCCCTGATACACACTGACACAGAGCAGAATAGGGACTGTTCCTCCTACATAGGGTCACTTGGCAGATATGGATTGA